ATTGTCATCCTAAGACCTGATAAAGGAGATGGAGTAGTGATTATGGATCGTGCAGCTTATGACCAACAAATCCTCAAGATCATTAACGATACTAACAAATTCAAGCCATTAAGCACAGACCCAACTATCTCGCGCGAAAACAAACTTCAAAGAACTTTACGAGACATTAGACGTAGAGGCCAGTTAGATCAGGTAATTTACGAACGTATTTATCCCTGTGGTTCACAGCCAGCACGTATTTATGGCCTACCTAAAATGCACAAACCGAGAGATGAAGACTCTCTTCCACCGTTTCGACCAATTATCTCGTGCATAGGTAGCTATAATTATATGTTAGCCAAATACTTAAGTGAGCTACTCACACCTCATATTCCTTCAGAATACAGCGTCCATGACTCGTTTAGCTTTGTCAAAGAAATTAATGATTTAGATACTAACAACCGGTTCATGGTCTCGTTTGATATCGTTAGTTTGTTTACTAATATCCCTCTAGAGGAATGCATTGATCTAGCGGTAAAATACACAAAGGATGGTAACCCGAATCTTAAGTTAACTCACGAAGATCTCAGGGATTTGTTCAAACTTGCTACAACGGGTACACATTTTCTATTTAAGGGTAACTTTTATGAGCAAGTCGATGGTGTGGCCATGGGCTCACCTCTTGCTCCGATTCTGGCTAATTTATTTATGGGACACCATGAAAAAAACTGGCTAGATGATTACAAGGGTCCTCCTGTTTTATTTTACCGAAGATATGTGGACGATACTTTTTGCCTCTTTAATAACAAACAAGATGTTGACCAATTTTTTCAATACATCAATGGGAAACATTCTAGCATTAAGTATACTAAAGAAGAACAAACTAACAATACCTTGCCTTTTCTTGATATACGGATTGACAACTCAAGAGAGCAAAACGTAACTTCAATCTTCCGTAAACCTACGTTTATGGGACTTTTTAACAACTTTACTAGTTTTTCTCCGATAGCATACAAGAGAGGCTTGATACGCACTTTAATAGATCGCGTCTATAAGATTAATAACACATGGATACGTTTTAATGAAGATCTTAAAAATCTCAAACACATCCTTCAGAGAAATTTATTTCCATCGTCTCTGATCGACAAATGTATTGAAAATTATCTAAATAACATCTTTATAGCTAGACCTGACACTCAAAAAGTAGACCAGGAAACGAGATATTACAAACTTCCGTATATCGGTCATTTCTCGAAGATAGCACAAATCAAACTAGATAGACTAGTTAAACAGCACTGCAAGAACATCAACATCAAGTTAGCCTTTACCACATTCAAGATAGGTAGTTTATTCACTGTGAAAGATCCTATCCCCAAGGAATTGAAGTCCTGCGTTGTTTATAAATTCTGTTGTGCAAGCTGTAATGCTTGCTATGTCGGTCAAACGATTAGACATTTCAAAACACGCAGGAAAGAACATTTATTTGGAGATAAATCCTCACACGTGTATAAGCACGTACATAACACTAAATGCGGAGAGAATGTGAATAATGAATGCTTTTCTATTATCGATTCTGATAATACAGAATACAAAATTAAGATCAAAGAAGCGATGCATATCAAATGGCTACGACCATCGTTAAATCAACAAGTCAAACACTTAGCTCTCTCTTTGTCTTTGTAACTTTATAACAACATATTCACGTGCTATGTTTACTATATATATATATATATATATTACTTTCCTTACTTTGTATTCATTCTGATGATGGCGTAAGTAACGCCGAAACATGTCAAATACACCACATTTAAAAATCGTRATTGTTATTTTAAAATTACTATGCTCATTGCTGATCAAAAGACCACTAGTTCAGTTTTATCACCGTTAAGTTTAAGCTTGTTTTTAATCATCCATAAATCAATATCTTTGACACAGGCCTCAACCTTGGATTTTGCTGCTGTCATTTCACATAAGGATGTTGTAGAGAAAGAAATATATAATTGTGTATCATCTGCATACAGATGATAGCCCAGCTCATGCTGATGAATTATATCTGCTATGGGTGAAACATATAATGAAAATAAGATTGGTCCTAGAATTGATCCCTGAGGAACACYACAATCAAAAGGCCGAGAAGAAGATTTGCCTTCCGGGACACTGACATAAAATTGCCTATTACTAAGATAGGATTTGAACCACTCAMGAGCTAAGTCTCGAACTCCAAAAGATGTATATAGCCGATTTAAAAGAATATCATGGTCAACAGTGTCAAAAGCAGCAGAGAGGTCAAGAAGGACAAGAAAAACTGATTTGTTCTTATCAATTTCAAGCAAGATATCATTGTGCACTTTTAGAAGGGCAGTTTCCACGCTGTGGTTTTTCTTATATGCAGATTGCAATGGCACATGAAGGTTATTTTTCTCAAGATGTTGAATCAGCTGTTGCGCAACCACTTTTTCAATAGTCTTTGACAAGAAATTTAAATTAGAGATTGGTCGAAAACTAGAAAATTCTTCAATTGTTAAATTCGGCTTTTTAAGGAGGGGCTTAATCACAGAAAGTTTTAGCATTGAAGGCATTGACGCTTTCACTAAAGAAAGATTGACAATCTTAGAAATGACAGGAGACAAATGGTTTGCAACCAATTTTAGAAATTTTTTTTTAGAAAAAGATGTGATATAATCATTTAGAATGACACATTCACTAGGCAGAGTATAATGGATATCCCCAAGATTATTTTGTATATTAATAATCTTGTCAACAAAGAAATCAGCAAAACTATTTGCAAGATGGTTTGGCGAAACAGCAGATGGAAAATGTTTCGCACTCTTTTTGTGTGTCATTTTTTCAAAAGTAGAAAAAAGAGTTTTTTGGTTTGACTGATGCTCCTGGATAATCTTTGAGTAGTAGCTATTTTTAGAAGATTTTAAAAGATTTTTGACAATATTACATTGTTCAACATATAATTCTCTATCAACAGTCAAGTGAGAGCGACGCCATCTTTTCTCAAGTTTCCTACGCTTAGCTTTTTCAGTCCTTATTTCTGATGTATACCAGGGATTGTGAGGACGCAGAGAAACTATACGGTTTTTAGATGGAGCATGAGAATTTAGGACAGAAGTGAGTGTAGAATCATACTGGTTAAGTAAGCTATGTAGATCATCRTTAGGAGATATGACCAGAGAAGAATTTGAGATGTCATGAATAATAGCATCAGAATTTATTGCCTTCATGTTACGGCTTTTTGTCACAATTTTTTGGAAAGGAGGTTTTTTGATTTTGAGATGACCGAAAACAGCCGAGTGAAAAGAAATTGAAGGATCAGAAACGGAAATATTACAAATAACATCTTCTCCAGTCCTTGTAATTACAAGGTCAAGCGTATGTTTGCCCTGATATGTTGGCTCTTTAACATGTTGAGTCAAATTAAAAAGCTCTAATAAATTCAGAAATTTAATTGCAGAGGAATTAGAAGAGTCATCAACATGAAAGTTGAAATCCCCCATCAAAAGAAAAGAGCCTGATCTAGCAGAAAATTGTTCAAGAAAAATGGAAAATTCTTCCAAAAACATAGCATCAGAAAATTTATTACGTTTAGAAGGGGGAGGTCTGTAAATAACAAACAGTGAAATTTGAGAAGAAGATGATATTTTCATGCCCATAGCTTCAAAAGATTTGAAGTTGTCAAAACGTATTTTCTCAGCTTTTAATGATTYTTTWMAAAGRATTCCAACGCCAMCACCTCTTGTTTTTCTAGAGATATGGTGGAAAATATATCCTTTAGGTGTCAACTTTTTAACCAGGTTTCAGTTAAACATAAAATGTCAATACTGTTTTCAACTGTAAAATCATTTATAACTGTAGGTTTATTACACACTGACCTGGCATTTAAATGGCATATTTTTGCAGTTTTCTCTATGGAAGGATGCAAAGGCAGGCGTGGTGGAATAGAAAGATTATTTAAGTTGACACCACGCTTAACATTTCGGGATTTAGAAATAATTTTCTCAAAAGAAGGTTTTTTAATTTGAAGAGTGCCAAAGACAGCACAATGTTCAGAAATGGCAGGGTCAGAAACGATTACATTAGAGAGTATGGTGTCACTAACCTTAGTTATTACAAGATCAAGAATTTGTTTATTTTGATATGTAGGTTGGTCCACATGTTGAGCTAAGTTAAATATCTCAAGAAGATTCAAAAATTTTGTAGCATCAACATTAGAAGAGTCATTTATATGAAAATTGAAATCACCAACCAATAAGACAGAAGAAGAAGTAGCACAAAAATTCTCCAAAAAAGTAGAAAACTCTTCAAAAAACAAACTAGTTGAAATATTATTCCTCCCTGAAGATGGAGGTCTATTAATTATGAAAATAGAAATACTAGGAAAAGAGTTAACTGACATGCCCATGATTTCAAAGGAMTTGAATTTATCAAGTGAAATTTGCCCAATTTTTAGAGTTTTCTTATAAAGAAAMCCAACTCCTCCACCTCTACCAGCTCTAGCAACATGTTTAAAGACATACCCATTTGGAGTTAACTTATTAATGACTGATTGATTGTTAACGTTTTTACTTTTTAACCATGTTTCAGTTAAACAAATAATATCAACATCATTATCAATAGTAAAATCATGTATATAAGATGGTTTGTTATACACTAACCTTGCGTTAAAAAGACAAATCTTAGCAGGCTTATCCAAAGAGGGTGAGAAAGGCAAAAGCAAAGGTGTAGAAATGTTATTATTCGACGWAACTGTAGGCAATACCGAACGGTTTGAAATAATCGAAGATATAGGCCAAGATTTCTGTTTATATCGAACACCAGCACGAGTTCGCCGAGTATTCAGAATGCCTAGGTCTTTTAAAGTATTAAAAACATTTGGTGGAATTGGAGATTTAGATTTAAGGCGTAGAAGTTGAATTCTTGAATAATTAAGATGAGTTGTTGTTGCTTGTATTGTTGAAATCGAATTTGAATATGGCGGCAAAACTAAAGATCGAACGAAGAATCCAGCAGAAGGACCAGAAAAAGCAGATACATCACGATAAAGAACACTTGTGGCGACTGGAGATAAAAAGGGAAAACCATTTGAAGCCAGAAGATGATGAGGATGGTAGTTAAAAGAACGAATGCCAGAAAGAAACCAGTAATCACTTGAGTGCATCGCCAAGGTCTGAAGCGGTTCGAGGAGAAATCAAATAAATATCGAAGATCTTGCGAAAAACATAGCASATTAACTTGAAAAAACATAAATACGATCTAATAGAGTTACTAAGTCGAGAAAAGAGTTCGAARKAACKTAAAATAACGATATAAAATGAAAAATACACGGAGCTAAGAATCATGCAGCCGTCTCAGGCGCTAATATGCTAATTTATACATAATTTATACATATTTGTCTGTCTTTTGTATATGGTTCCGACTGATGTAGTTTCTATCTCACACTGTATTTCTAATTTTCTCTGGTATTCCCGATTGATTACTGGTTTGGCATCGAACATGCATATATTGAAGAGAATAGATTGACATAGCGACTTGTAGCTGCGCGGCTGATTGTTACTAGACAGGCATCATATTTATTTCATAATGGTAGCTTAGTAATGTACAATGTCTGCACTATCTGATCTTTCAGTACTCTAGTTTTGTTTTGCTAGGCTTTATTTAGCCTCAATGCCCCGATTTCGAGTTCTGATTTGTGTTAAACCATATATTATTTTGTTTCATTGATAGCCCGAGAAAGCGCATGGTATTTGAAAAGAAAGACAACAGAATAGATTTTAAATCTCACACTTTTATTCATCGAATAATTCACAGAGCATCGGAGAATTTGAAACTGGATTATAGTGTGTAAAATATTCATAATTAACGACAAAGTCTGGTCAGTCTGTGGTATTCATAATACTATTTTAATTGTCTTCTTCGCACGCATGACTTGCATATCCACAAAGATGCATATGTTATATCATTCTGAAGTTTAGCCTGAGCAAAATACAACTGGGTATGTTCTATAGTCTATCTTCCACATTTCTCTGTCTTCCTATCTGCACATCTACAACCTGGAATCCTATTGAAAGACAATAAATCAGTGAATATTAGAAAAGTGACTGGACATTGTATTTGTTTTACAGAAGAATGAGAGTTTTCGAACAATCAATTTATCAATTTATTATAATAGTCCCTTCTATCAAAATCCAAGTTCGATGTTGGACGGTCTTACTACATTCAGTCTAATTTTTACGCGTTATTCAAAATTCTTCTCTGCTTGTGGTCAACTAAGCAGACATGTCACGCAGTGCACGAAGGGAGCCGTTTACGTGCGCTTTTGACGGCACGGTGATGCACGAAATGAGGCACACATGTTCTGGCTACGCATCAAATTAGCCAACATCGAGCGCTGCATTGACTGTAGAGAGCACGATAAAGAACGGAATGAGCCACACATTAGCGATGCTTGGGCGCGAAAATGCATGTAATCGTGCAGTGATTATTTTTCGTAAATGTTTTAACCGTTCTGACGTTAGTTTTCTTTACTTTCTCATCGCAAGTTTTAACTTTTTTAAATTGAAAATCTCCAAAAATGTAGCGAATTTCATGTGCATCTCCGAAATGTATAAATTTTCAAGTAAGTTAGAAAGAATATATGATTTATAGTGGATGTAAAATATTCGGTGCCTGCTATT